AAGTAACTTGTGACAGAAGAAACACAAAGCACGGACAAAAGGAAAACACAAGAAACATCGAAACATGACAATCACATGAGACATGTCTGTGTTTCTGCACCTCCCAGTGTTTCTCTATTCCTTGTGTTTCTGCTCCCATGCACACCTGAACCGAACCCTAATCACGGTTGGATTTCATGTTTTATTTTAAGCCACGTCATCACTCAGGGTGTTTCACTTCGTCTCATCAGCTCCTGGTATTTAATCTGTGTGTTTTCACTCCCCTGGCATCGGGGCATTATCTTACTATCCTTCGTTCATGGTCTGGTCTGCCTCTTCATGTAAAACTGTTTTTGTTAAAATAAACAATTATTATTTTTGCTCCTGAGTCCTCCTGTTCTCTGCCTGCACTTGGGTTTGACACCATCACAGCCAGGTCATGTCACAAATAAACAAATCAAAAGACACAAAGCACGATAGACGACCAAACAAAACAAAGCTTTTGGCAGAAATATTGGACGAGATCGCATCATTGGACCAAAATGACTACCGTATTTTTTGTCCTATAAGTCAATTTTATTTGCATAATTTGCATGCCCTGTGACTTATAGACCAAAGCGACTTATTTTTGATTTTTTTCCCCATAATTATAAACCAAGTTTTGGCTGAGATATGACCGTTTTCATTCATTCTGACTGAAAATATTGAACACTACCATTTTCATCTGATAGATAGCACTCGAGTAGTATGGTATGCTGTTGTATCATGCAATAGGTAAAAGTGGCTATTAATGACACAAGTGGCTTGCCAAATACTGCCACCATCGTCTGCCTGGAGCAACCGAATCAGCTTCATTTCACTGCACCGCCCCGGCAAAATACAGCTGACGTCACCGTCAAAGTGCTTTTATTGAGTAAAAGTTCAACTGAGACACACATTTACTATAAAGTTGAGCAAACAAATATTTGTTTTTAGGTGGTCATCATGTTAAATTTCAAAGAGATGGACTGCAAGTCGCCCTCTGTGCGTTCATGTTTCCGTGTATCGACGTTTGAAAATGCAGCTGACTTCACCGTCAAAGTGCATTTATTAAGGAAAAGTTGGACTGAGACACACCTTTGCTATAATTTCAAGCAAACCAATAATTGTTTTTAAGTGTTTATCTTGTTAAATTGTTGTTAAAGTCCTCTTGTGCACACTCCCGTGGCCGCCATTTATTTGGCAGCCAATCGATTTTTGGCACAACACCGGCCCACATTTCCGGGTTGTCAGCGATGATGCGTAATAGATGCGACACATACAATGAAGCGACTTATTCATGTTTTTTTCCACTTTATTAGACATATCTGGACTGATGTGACTTATACGGCGGTGCGACGTGTATGGCGGAAAATACGGTACAATGTTTTCATCATGAGACAATATTAGTCTAAAACGTTCACATGAGACGCGGCAGGCCTTATGAATTATTTAAAGGAATGGCTTTTATTTTCAACAGGACCCAACCTTAATCACCTTTAGCCAAACTTTGTCACAGATTGATTTGAACCGGTCTGCAAACTCCAAGTCTGCACACACTATGTATTTGTTTATTTTTAAGAAAAGATGGATTTGATGACATACGTAGAAGTTATATTGATTTTGCAAATCTTGTGTGGCTTGCAAATTAAAAGCTTCGGTTGCGAAACCAAAACGATAGAGAAAAAAAAAGAACTTTGGAACAGTGAAAAGAACCTGCTGCACCAAAAACCAGTAAGAGATAAGAGTAAAGATTAAAGACTAAAAGAATACATTTGTTCATTTCATAGAAGGAAGAATCAATAATGACAAACACCTTCCAATCTATATTTGGAGACATTTGAATTGAAGTTTAAAAAATAAAAAATAAATACAGCATTTTATCACCTGTGGCTTAAGGATGGGTAATAAGGCATTGCCTGTGTCAGTGTTAATCTGAGAAAAAAATCTCGTGAACCATTAACAATCTTATTGAAATGATCAAAAAGTCATTATCAGATGTACAGTATATCTATGCTGGTGAAGATTCAGTATATCTACAACTCACTGAATTTTAGATTCACCCCAAGTTAAGATGGACGCCACAACAACTTTAAAAAAAACACACAAAATTATTATTAACCTTTATTCAAATCCCACTGAGACTGATCTCTTTTGTAAGGGAGGCCTGGACCTGAAGCCTAACATGCATGTTATTGATTTGTGGGAGGAAACTGGAGTACCCGGAGAAAACCCACGCAAACACGAGAAGAACATGCAAACGCCACACAGAAAGACCCCAGGTCCAACCGGGAATTGAATCCAGGACCTTCTTGCTGTGAGGCAACAGCGCTAACCACTGATCCGCCGTGCTGCCAGTGGACACAAAATGGTTGAGACTGAATCAGTTCTGGTGTAAAATCCGGTGCGGTACTAAATGAGTCCAATCACGAAAAATATTGTAACAGACTGCAAGATATTTATTTTAAACTTTGCCATTGACTATTCTGGCAATTCTGTCCATCTGTTAGCAAAATGTCTCATGAACCACTTGTCAGATTTCAACAAGCTTTCAAAAAGTAATATTTGCACGCACATCTACAACTGATTAACATTTGGAGTCCATCTTTAACGCAGCTGCCACGGCTAATCAACACAAAAATGGCTCTAACTCAGACAAGTTCAATGATGCTGAGATAAAATTTGATGTGGTAATAGTTGAGTTACTCACGACACATAGGAGTGTTACATCTCATCATAGTGCATGACATCAGGCATAACACACATTTTTTAAAGAAGTACTGAGCTTATTGTCCCTTTGCCTGTCGTCCATTCATCCATATACTGTATTTTTAAGTATAAGCCGCATCAGTTAAGAAAAGCACCATGAAGAGGAAAAAAACATATAAGTCGCTCCAGCGTATAAGTCACATTTATTATGTGTCACCGCTGACCTGTTGCGTTTATTATGAGTTTATTTAATGGTCAAAACAGCTTCATTTTGCATGGGCGGCCCAGCGCCATCCATCCATCCATCCATCCATTACGGCTGGAGCCACTAGCTATCCAGCGTTCCTCTGCCTGCACCAGCTGAGTGAATTGAGCGTGCACGGGAGGACTCACTGTTGTAGTTCTTCAAGATTTAACAAGATTAACACTTAAAAACAATTATTAGTTTACTCAACATTATAGCAAGGGTGTGTCTCTGTTTAACTTTTCCTTAATAAATACACTTTAATGGCCAAAACAGCTTCATTTCACCTGGGTGCTGCGGTGCCATCCATCCGTCCATCCATCCATCCATCCGTCCGTCCGTCCGTCCGTCCATCCATCCACCCATCCATCCATCCATCCATCCATCCATCCATCCATCCATCTGTCCGTCCATCCATCCATCCATCCATCCATCCATCCATCCATCCATCCATCCATCCATCCATCCATCCATCCATCCATCCATCCATCCATCCATCCATCCATCCATCCATCCATCCATCCATCCATCCATCCATCCATCCATCCATCCATCCATCCATCCATCCATCCATCACTACCAGAGCCGCTAGCTCTCCAGCGTTCCTCCGCCTGCACCAACTGAGTGAATCGAGCGTGCACGAAAGGACTCGCTGTTGCAGTTCTTTGAAATTTAAAGCATCAGACAAAAATTGCTTTATGAATATGGAAAAAAAAACTACTTTGTATTTAATTTGCAGGACTGGCAAATCTATGCAAAAAACTGTGACTTATATGTCGGAAAATACGGTAGCTATGGGTGTGTGTGTGTGTGCGTGTGTGTGTGTGTGTGTGTGTGTAGAAGCAAATGACCTAAAAGACACATATTCCCAATAATAGTTCATCTCCTAGCTTCTGCAGATACCAACGTTAAAAATAATTCCTGTGCTTTTTAATCACTTAAACCTCAGTTTAACCACATTTAACTGATTAACAAGAAGGTGAACAATGTGCTGATGTAGCTCCTCAGTCATCCAGGACATGGTAAATCCAGAAAGATTAAACTAACTAAACAACTGGACTTCTATCATGTGATTGAAAACGTTTTGCTTTCCATTGTGGGAGATTTCACAATTCCTCACTGGACAGATGCTCCCTTGTGCAGCTAAATTCACATTCACAACTAATTCCTCCCACAGGAGAGCTGCTTTGGTCACTGGACTTTGTGAACGTAATAAAGACTGCCATCTGCTGGAGCGGACACACAATGTGCAGAAATAAGAGCTCAGACACATTAATCAAACCAACATAATTATTTATCTCATAAACCATGACAGATTTTAATGAAACTTACAGCAATAAATCATTGATCATACATCTGCAACTGATTCACTTTGGGAGTCAACGCAAGTCAAGATGGCTGAAGCAACCAACTGAAGGTAGAAAACACAAAAATTGCTCAAAATCAGTCAACTTGACAGATTTTGTGTTATCAGGATGTGGTAGTAGCTGAAATTCATTCACAGCACATACTGAGTGTGATATTTCATAATACTGGATGAGACTGCACATACAGTTATTTTCAAAGTTTGACCAAAATGATTACCATGCCATCATTTCTTAACTAAGACGATCTCAGTCGATACATACGGTTCTGAAACTCCTTCAAGAAATGCTGGTCTTTTCATTAAAACCAACTCGTGCTATCAAAATGTCAACATGCAAAAGCTGCAAAAGATGTAGCATGGTGCTGATTCCTAATGAACAGGCCCCAAAACATTTATTTTTTATTTGCATTACTTAAAAAATGAAACACTACTACTTCAAATCAACACCTAACTGCTTCAGGAGCACAGTTACACAACAGCTTCACATCAGAACAGCTACAAGCTAAGGGCTAACATGACTGAGTCTTTGGCAATATGGCAACGAGATGTTTAGTCAAAGCCAGGTCTGAATTCTGATCAGCAGGTCTGTGGGTAAGAGTTCCTTCAAACGTTTTATTTAAAACAGAGTGAACGCTGATGAGAGGAGATGAGGTGCAGCAGCAGGAGCAGAAGGGATGCGGACGTCTACGATTGCTGTTTTCGGCTCTCAAAGTTTTTGAAGTTAGATGGCCTAATCTTCATTTCTGCAAAATCAATTGAGTGTTCGTGGCCTTTCCAGTGGAACCAGTTAATTCCCTGTGAGAGAACAAAAAAAGAAAAACAGGTCATGGGAACGTAGTTAACATCAGCGCAAGCTCCTACTTGCACAGAGGTTTTTGCTCTGCTGCATTTTAGTCCTTACAAAGATCTTTGAAGTTTTTAGTTGATTGTTTTGTCATTTTTACCCACGTGTTTGTGTTCGTGTTTGTGTTCGTGTTCGTGTTCGTGTTCGTGTT